CTTTGAGGATCTTGACTCTGGATACATCCGCCTGCCACTCAGCTCTACTCCTACTATGCTGTGCATCTATGGCCGCCTTCCTTCCTCAGCGCAGCGCTGCCCAGTCCTATAGGCTCTAGTGTTTGCCAACTCGCAGATAGCGCACAAGCGCTCAGCAGCACTTCCACACTACTCGCGAATGAGCAATCTGTCCAAAATGTCCCAGCCTCTGCTCCTCTTGGTTTGACTTGGACCCCATACCGGCTGCCCGCAGCCTGTTTGCTTTCGGAATGTTGAGGCCCGGTACCTCCCTGAGTTTTCATTGGCCCCTGCTGCTTTTTGGTCTGTGGGACATGACCTTTGCCTTTGGGATGTGACTCTTGACTAGGACGTGACTTTTGCCTGTGGGATGTGACTCTTGAATGGGTACCAGTTGGAGTTTACCTCTGGGGTACCCGACTTAACCTTTCTGAATCTGGCCGACCGGGCCGTTTTCGACTTGGGAACATTTGACCTTGAGATTGGAATTTGGGGTCTGTAGCGTGAAATGCCTTTCAATGACTGGGAGGGGAGAGCGTTTGAAAACAGGTGCGGGCCACAGAGAAGAAGACAGCCTGATGGGTTGAAGTTCTATACTTACGACATGTTGTGAATGAAGATGGGTTGAGACCAGAGGAAAAGAAGTTTGTTGCTATAAGAGACTAGCCTAAGCCATAAACATTAATTGATTTGCGCTCCTTTCTTGGATTGGCCAGCTATTATAGGAAGTTCGTCAGGAACTTCTCATCCATCGTTGCCCCTATGACGAGGCTCCTGAAGAAATGAACTATTTGGCTTTGGAATGAACACTACGAGTTTGTGTTTAGGAAGCTCAAATACGAGCTCACCTACTATCCTGTGTTAGAGATTGCAAACCCATCCTTACCTTTTACTGTGACCACTGACGCGAGTCAATATGGGATTGGAGTTGTACCACAGCAAAATGATGGGAAGGGTTTTCACAACTTTTCAGCCAATTGAGTTCATGTCTTGCCGACTTCCTTCACACATAGTAGCAAACTCAACCTATGAGAGAGAACTATTCACATAACACGCACTACTGACCTGGAAACTTTACCTCCTAGGTAGACACTTCAAAGTCTACTCAGACCATGAGACTCTGAAGTGGCTCAAGACGCAATCATGTTTTACTGACAAGCTCGCCAGATGGTCGACTATCATTAACACCTATGATTTTGATTTGAAAAGCATAAAAGGGAAGTATAATGTAGCTGACGCTCTCTCACGCAGGAGTGACTTCTTCGGAACAATTGCCACCTATTTAGACATAGGAAACGATCTGAAGGATAAAAGTCGCAAAGGATATGCCACTAACCAGATTTGGCAACCTGTTATAGATAATCTGAAATCTAATCCTAAACGTTTTGCTTACTACAGAATGGCAGATGGAATACCTTTCTTTATTGATGGAAATGAACAAAGAAATTGTGTTCCAGATAGTGAACCTATAAAGAGTCGAATTCTTGGCGAGTCCACTTTGGGTTCAAAAAGACTTTTGTCGATGTCCAATAAGACTTCGTTTGCCAAGGAATGAAAAACGACAAATTGACATACGTAAGAACTTATCTTGTGTATCAACGCAACAAGCCTCCCACGAGAGTCCCTTGGAACAACTGAGACCACTACCGTTTCTCGAAAGACCAGGTGAGTCTATTACCATAGACTTCATGAGCCTAACAAAGAGTCGAAATGGAAACAATCACGTAATGATGATCGTGGATCGTTTCTCTAAGCACACGATGTTTGTGCCCTTATCACGTGAAACAAAAACTAAACTTGTCATTCAAAAATTCCAGAAGCGATAGGTTTCTACATATTGGTTCCCCACAACCACTGTATCTGATAGAGATTTGAGGTTCACCAGCGAATCTTGGCAAAAACTGATGGAAGCTTACGACACCAGATCGACTATGTCTTCATGACAACATCCTGAGACTAACGGCCAAACTGAACAAATGAATAAGTTGTGCCAACAACTCCTACGCATGTATGTACAACCTGATCAGATTGACTGGGATGAAAACCTACCCAAGATTGCAAGTGCATATAATAATAGTGTACACTTCTACAGGACGCACATGAAATGCACTGCATAAAGGTTGGCAACCTCTGAGACCGATTGACTCCCTAACAAGGGACCAAATCCAAAAGCTGCCCCTAGGAACCCGAGAGTTTGCAGTTCTTTACTAGCAAGACATTCAAAAAGCAAAAGAGAATATAAAGAAGCCTAACAAAAAATGATTGAAAAGGCAAACAAGCATAGGAGGCCTGCGCAATTCAAAGAAGGAGATATGGTTTGGGTGAAATCTAACGAATTCTCACTTGAGGAAACTATACCGCAGAAACTGCTACCCGTCTACTACATACCCTGGGAAGTTCTCGAAGTAATAGGGGACGTCGATGGACCATCCTACCAAATTGACATTCCCCCTCATCTGAAAACTTACCCATTCTTCCAAACATCTAAGTTGCTACCCTATGCTGAAGGACAGGAATTCCCGAATTGACAATCTTCATTTCCTCCTCCAATGGATGGTGGGCATCAAGTAGAGAAAATCATTGAACATGGGTTTTTCTCCAGTGGAGCTAGAGGAAGACCTCAAAAGCAATACAAGGTAAAGTTTTCCAATCAACCGCTAACTGAAGCTCGATGGTTTAGTAGAAGAAAACTTTTACCTACTGCTCCTAATATTGTTTCCGCATACGAGAGAAGTTTAAGAATCCAAGCCTGAAATGAAATTTCTGCGATGGAACTCGAACTCGGGCCGGATGGAATGTTGTAACTCGTGTGCCAAATTGAGCCAATGGGCTCTCGTCGCGCCCGCAAACAAGCACGAACGGGCAGGCCTGGAAAAAGAGTAGTCAAACAGGCCTTGGAAATGGCCCGGGCCGACAGTTGACCGAAGTCAACAATCAGCTTGTGGAACCGGGCCCAAATCTGAGAAGTCAAATTCAACCCACAAGATTTCCTGGCCGTCGATTTGGAATGATCTAACAGTGGTCTGCAGGTTCCGAAAGATTCAGGCCTCAAGGAGTCCAGACGGAAACTGGGACAAATCGGATGATCCAAGCCCTCACATGGACTGGCACTGACCCTGGACAGGCGAGTCAACACTATATCAAGTTGACCTCGCCACTGCTTGGGCATTCAGTCTTCCGAGTTGCTTGCGGCTACGACGCTGCACTTGAGACTTAAGAGGGAGTGCTGGTGCGAGGCTGCTTCATGAGCGCCAGCCAGACACCGAAGTATAGAGAGAGGGAGAGGGCGGCCAAGGCCGCGGCCATAGATGACGGTGAGGGAATGAGGAGAGAGAGACAGAGAGGGTGTGGGTAATGTGAGTAGTCGTGCGTACGTACCTGATTTCTTCAAATGTGAAGCTGCTGCCGATTTTTCTCATTGTGGGAGGATCATTTATCTGCGACAGGCTGCTTCTTCATCGTCCACATGTCATATTGAATTTAGACCGCTGACGTGGCACGTTGAGTGCAAATTGCTGATATGGCACATCGATTGCAGATTGCTGACGTGGCATACTATGTGCAGATTGTTGGCATGGCATACTATGTGCAGATTGCTGACGTGTCAGAGGTGGGGAGCCTGAAGGAGAAGAGGGACTTGTTTGTTGTGTCACACTTCTCCATCCAACTGTCTATTCTCCCCTCCTCCCTTTTCTGGGTACTGCCGACTTTGAGAGTTTACGCGTGGGAATGAGGAATCATGTACTTCGATGACTTCAAATTGATGGACTTATTGGATTGATTATCTCTCGACATTGCACGACATTGTTATGTGGGACATGATTGGATGACGAGACTGGGTTCATTACATACATAAAAATTTACTCCCCATCTGAACGTTCTCATTTTGTGACCGTTTCAAGCTCAAGCCCAACCAACCCTGAAGGAAAAGAGGGACTTGTTTGCTGCGTCACACTTCTCCTTCCAACTGTCTATTCTCCCCTTCTCCCTTTTCTGGGTACTGTGGACTTTGAGAGTTTACAAGTGGGAATGAGGAATCGTGTACTTCGATGACTTCAAATTGATGGACTTATTGGATCGATCGTCTCTCGACATTGCACGACATTGTTATGTGCGACATGATTGGATGACGAGTCTGGGTTCATTACATACATAAAA